AGTGAGGCACCAAGTGATGTGGAGACACCAGGCCAGTGACCGAATTCTCTCCTGTAAACTGAGACTGTGCTCCACCCACAGGGCACTTTGGGAGCTTTTCCCACCCCATCCATCCCAGGCAGAGACCTGGATGCTCAGACAAAAGCTTCTAATAAAAAATAAAAAAGTAAAGCTTCTAATCCTTTGACAAAATCTACCTCCTCCCAATATGAGGCAATGAGAGACTTTTCTCCTCATGGTCTCATGGCAGCTTGTCCATGATTAGTGGGATGTTTATACCCATGGCCGTGGCACACCGTTCCCGGAAGCCGACTGGGGACACCCCTCCTCTCAGACCCTTTAATCGGCCACGCTCTGTGCAGTCGCTCACCCCGTGTGGCCTGTGGGTTTGCAGAAACAGCTCAGCAGAGCCATGCGGACGTATGAGAGGCGGATTGAGTGGCTCTCACTGGCCAGCAGGAGGATCTGGGGCACCGTCTGCGAAAAAAGGTACTTTCCCCTGAGTCGTGTTCCTGTCCGTCATGGGTTTGGTGTGTGACGGAGCACATTCCCAGCTCACGGATTCCCTATTGGAAGCCTCAGAAGCCATCACTTAGACTAAGGACGGCAAACCACTCAGCAGAACCCCTGGGGGGAAGTCGCCACCAACTTCAGCAATGTCCTCACTGGGTAACCCAGGGTTCTTTCCATTAAGAGGCAACAGAAACGGGTGCAGATGGGCTGAAACAAACTAGTGGAGTCTGGTGAAGGTAACGCGAAACTCCAAAGCAGATTTGCTGGCTGCCTTCATGGCTCGATCCAGAGACCCGTGTATGTCAGAGTCTCTCTCCATCTCTCATCTCTCCTCCGATGGCTTTGTCTTCAGGCGGCAGGCAGCTTTCCCCTCCGGTTTTAGCTTCCCAGAACTTGGGGCAGGGGCCGTCCATGAGCTCTGCACCCTGGCCAGGGGGGCGTGATGTCCTGCTTCCCACATGCCCACTCGCAAAGCTTGGGGCAGGGTCAGCTCTACCCAAAGCAAATGGAATGATAGAGGCAGAGGGGTGTCCCAAAGGAACACCAGGATGCTGTCGCCACAAGAGGTAATGAATGCTGAGCAGGGAGAAACAGTGGGTACCCATTATAGCCATTATTCTCATTCCATACCTTATTTGATATGTCACCTTTACAAAATAACACACTTTGTAATAATACTATACATCTCTTCTATCCTTTAATTCTTAACCCTATGAGGAGTCGTCTTATAAACACTGTAGTCTATAGTAAGCATGCCAAGGACCAGAGGGGTTCTGTGACTTGCCTAAGGTCACACAGGAAGTGGGCTTGAACCAAGGTCGTCTGATTCTAAATCGAGTGGGGTTTTTTTGTTGTCTACAGGTGTCTCAAAATGAGAACGGAGGGAGGAGATGGGAATGTAAGATTTGAAACAGTGAAGGGAAAAAACTGAATGGGGCTAAAGATCTTAAAACAGAGAAAGGAAACAAAAAAGATACAAAATTTCCCCAGAGGCCCAGATCTCGTAATTCCACATCCTACTTGCTGACCCTGCTTGTTTTTCCTTCAAAGACCCCGACCTATAACCATATTGAATGCTAGTGCTTTAAACAAGGAGGGATATGAAACTCATTGCGTGCAGCCTCCGCCCCTCGGCCATCCCCACCAGGAGGCTTTTCCGCGGTAGGACCTCCTGAGAGAGAGGTTCCAGCACCTAAATCTGCTGGAAACCCACCTCCGTTGACCTCAACCCGGAGAAAACTTGGCCAGCTGTGCATCTGGCGTGTGAAGTTCCCCGGAAAACACTTTAAAGAGTAAAACGGAACAAAAAGAACACTATCCGAGAGATTCGGTTCTCCTGGAGCTTGTGTTTCTGTGCAGGCTGGTTGTACTGCTCGACCTCTCCGCGGCCAGTTCCACGTACATTATTCATATCCAGCACTCCCTGCGGCTCCTGCTGGAGGAGCAGCTGTCCAACAAGGATGCCTTCAACGTCATCGCGTAAGCTCCCGTCCTGGGGGAGGCCGTGTGCTTGGCCTGGCCGCTGGGCTGGGGCTCCTGGCAGGGAGCGGCTCGCAGGGAGCGGCTCGGCTCGGCAGATGTTCTGAGCACCCCGCACCCTGGGACGGCCGTCTGTTTATCTGCCTCGAATGATCGTGTTTGGGGCGTTGAATAATTAAATAGTTGCAGAACAGTCCCACTGGGGAGCAGGTAATGAGCAGCCCCAAAACACACTGCTCGATCAGCCAGGAAAAAACAACTCCGCCATTGCCCCACTGGGCTTCAAACTGAGAAGCAGGAGAGAGAAAGAAGGGCCAGGCATGCCCTAACTTGGGTTTGGCAAGGCACAATAGTTCATTTAGGGTTTCAATTCTAAATGTTAACTTTGTGTGTAGCTATATAGAATTAAATTATATAGGTATAAATATGTAAAACTATATATATTTAAATTATGTAAAATATAATACACATTTAAATTATATGTTTAAATATAAATAATTTAATATATACATTTAAAATATAAATAGAATTAAGTATTATATATTTATATATTTCAATTATATATAGCTATATATAATTGAAATATATACATAGTTTTATACATATTTTTAATTGCATACCATTTTAACTAATTGGAGGAGAAAGAGCAAAAGGGCCCACTTGAACTATACATTTACACACCTTCACATCTAACAGGGAGTGTTCTGAACCTATTAAGTCAGTAGTTAATATTATATATTATTCTGTATCAGAGCCTAATCTTTTCATAATAAATTCCAAGAAAAAATGCTTAGAGAAACATTTTAGGCAATGTTTTCATTCATTTATCCATCCAACCGTTTGTTCCGCAAGCTTTTACTAAAAGCCCAGGCGCAGAAGTTCAAACACAAAACCTCCCTCGGGCCGCGTGGCCTCGAGGGAGACAGGCTGAGCAAGGCTCTGAAGAGACTGGCTGTGCCGGCTGGAGTCCAGGTGGGGGTCAGTGTGAACCACAGAGAAGGCGCCTTTCCTTTGATGAAGGGAGGGGTCCTCTTCTTCTTTTTTTTTTAAATATATTTTATTGATATTTTACAGAGAGGAAGGGAGAGGGATAGAGAGTTAGAAACATTGATGAGAGAAAAACATCGATCAGCTGCCTCCTGCACATCTCCTACTGGGGATGTGCCCGCAACCCAGGTACATGCCCTTGACCGGAATCGAACCTGGGACCCTTCAGTCCGCAGGCCGACGCTCTATCCACTGAGCCAAACCGGCCAGGGCAGGAGTCCTCTTCTCACAGATTTAAATTCTGCCTCACAGAAAAGGTGAAATGATACGTATGAGAAACAGACAGACTGTGGTGCAGATAGAGGGGACATGTGTTGTGAGCGTGAGTCAGTGCCAGGGAAGTTTAAAAAGGGAGAAAGGACTCCCTCCCCGGGGATGGGGCCGTACACACACACACACACACACACACACACACACACACACGTCTCCACGACACGGAGGGAGTGCGGCCTGGGCGCTCCTGGCTCTGCCCTCACCGTGACCGTCCGGGGAGGTCGACAGCCAGGTCTCGGCTGGCCCAAGCTGGTGACACCCCAACATTTTGGGGGTGGAATCAGGATTTTGGTCTCCTTAGAGCCTGGGAGCCCAAAGAGCTGGGACCCAGAGTGGACCAGTCTCCTGCCTGAGAACGAGCCCTTTCCTTCCCTCAGGTTTGGGAGCACCGTCGAAAGCTGGAGGCCCGAGATGGTGTCCATGAGCCATGACAACTTACAAAGCGCCTGGCAGTAGGTGGCGGGCAGAGGCTCACCTGCCAGGCCTGCGGGCAGCCTGGGTGGCTGCTCTCTCCATGCCCCGCTCCACTGAGGGGCAGTCCCTGCCTCTGTTCTGGCCTCACCCAGGCCTCGCTCAGCAGGGCTCTCCTGCCTCCCAGGTGGGCCCTGACCCTGCAGTGTCGCGGCAGCAGGAATGTCCTCAGCGCCCTGCGCAAGGCGGTGGAAGTGGACTTCAAGGACAAAGACAGACAACAGTCGCAGGGCATCTACCTCTTCACAGGGGGCATCCCCGACCAGGACATGGTAGGTGCTCCAGTCCCGGGCACCCCCATCCTCATGACCCCACAGCTTCCCCGGGTGGACGCTGGCCGCTCCTCTCAGCGCGGCTTTCCAAGCTGGACTTCGTGTGCAGGAGACTCGCCTGGGGTGGTGTGGGGATGCAGAACCTGGCCCCGCAGGCCTGGCCGGGGGCCTGAGAGTCTGCATTTCTAATGAGCTCCCAGGCTGTCACCAGCCTCTCAGGCCCAGCTCCCGCCATACCCTCCCCAGATAGAGAAGCTGTGACCCAGCTCAGTCGTCTTTCTACCCTCGGCACCCAGTGCTCACCGGGCACACAGTAGGCCCTCGAGAAAGATGACCAGGCAGAACTGATCTGGGGCCAGCAGGTTTAAGAACCCCCACCCTCTCCCCCCAGCCCACGCTCAGCGCCTACATGGCTGAGGCCTGCGGGGGCTGCGACCTCCAGCTGAACGTGTGTCTTTTCTACGTGGGGGAGCCGCCGATGGACACCTCCCCACCTGCCTGCTACGCCAGCCGCACCGACACGGCCGCTGCCTACCGCGAGGTCACCCGGGCTGCTGGTGGCCGTTTCCACTGGTTTGGAGACACAGGTGCGTGAGTGTTGGCTGGTTCCTCCATCTCTCTGTTTCCGGGAACCTCAGTACCAGCACCGGACCCTGTGCCAGAGATGTATTCCAGAAAGGCAACGTGTGAAAACCCCATTCAAAAACGGGAAGCTGCTGTTCATGGCACGCGTTCGCTGCAAACGGAAGGTGGGATGGCGGCACGACAGTGCGAATGTACAGTGCGCTGCTGACCGTACACTCAAACATTGTTAGAATGGTACATTTGTGTAACATGTTTTACCGTAATTTTTTAAGTCAAAAAGAAAAGTAAAACTATGTTCAAATACGTTAGAATGTTAGAGCTGGAAGGGGCACTGGAGGTCCCTTAGTTTAGTGTTTCCCACAGGGGAGTGTTCACAACAGGTGGGTGAAAGGCAGTTGCTCACAGAACTCATTGTTATAGCTGGAGGGGGGCAGACAGCAGACAACGCCACCCCAAAACATGCCTCAAGGCATCAGAATTGTTGTGAGCTGACGCCAAAAAAGCTCTCTCCCTTCCCCCACACAGTCTACAAGTAGGACACAGGCCAACTTCAGAGTCTGTCTCCTTAGTCATGGTGCTCTAGTTCTTCTCAAACTAGTCAGCTATACTTACTACAGACATTAGCCACTTAAGTGATCCCAGGGTGGGTGATTTTACTCACTGGAGTATACCAGCACCCTTGCTCCTACCTGCTCTTCCTGTGGGTGCAAGCTCTTGCCTGGGTGCTGAGTCCCATGGCCATCCCCACTGGTGGTAACCTCGCTGTAACTGCCACTGGACTGTCGGGTGGGGACTGGTCAGCTCAGCCCATAAGACCCCACCCTGCCGCTCCAGCTCAGGTCTGTCCGGGACCGGTGCTCCTCCCCCATAAATTCTTTGTTTCCAGGCATTTATGAAAGTGACGACATCAATGCCATCGTGTCTGAGATGGAAAAGGCTCTCAACTACTCACAAAAGGTATGCTTTGGGGTGGGGAAGTGAAGTGCCACGAACCAGGTGCTTAAAACAGCAGGCATGCATTCTTTCATAGTTTCAGCGGCTGGAAGTCTGACATCAAGGTGTCAGGAGGACCATTGAAAGGAATTTTAGGGAGAAAATAGGCAGGTTTAGGGAGTCCTGAGAATAAAGAGGGTCCATGGTGGAGGAATGCATAGGTGAGGGCTTGGAGCCTCCAAAAGGCATCCATTCACAGCGGATAAAAGTCACGAAGTGGGGAAGAGGGAAACACTTTCACAGAAGATAGAGAAATGTGGACAATGGCAGAAAGAGGGGAACATTTTCACAGGAGATAGAGGAATGTTACAAGGTAAGGGGAGATGGGGAGGGGGCACCATGCGGGTTTTGGACTTTGGGTTTGATATTCTGTAAAAGGGTGGCCAATCAAAAAAGCACGGGGTCATAAAATGGGGAAGGGGTCCAATTAGAAGGGAGCATGAAGAGACAAAGAACTACAGCAAGAGAGGCTTTGGGGGTTACCCCCTTGGGACCCCCTCCCTACGTGAGAGTCTGAATTTGCTTCCAATAAATTTCCACCCTTTTACTAACAAGTACCTTTAGTCTGTGAAATGTATTCTTCAAACTTAGTGAGATAAGAACCCGCCAGGGGCAGATACACCCCACACACTGCGCGCCTCACGTGTTCCCTCTGGAGACTCTGGGTAGGTCCGCCAGTGCAGCTCGTGTTAAAGAAAACATACTGCCCTGGATGCTGGCTACGATGTCAAGGAAGACTTTCTGCGAGACTCTTGCAATAAGGGGGTGCGATCGGACTCAGCTCCGAAGACAGCTGGCGTTTATGGCCAGTGGCAGAGTGACGGGTCACAAATGGGAAATTACTAAGAGAAACGTGTTTAGCTTTCGAGAATAGGGGGATTCTTGCTAAATGGACTTAGCAGGATTCCTGCTGAAGGCTGGTCAAGGACTGAGACATCAGGGTGGGGGGTGAGGGACTTGATCAGTGGTGGGGGATTCTAACTAAACTGACTTGGCAAGATTCTTTGCTAAAACTGGGTTTAGCAGGACCAAGTTGAAGCCTCGTTGAGAAGAGGGCTCAGAGGGGCCGGACTAAAGTTTGGGCAAGGAGGGCGTCCTGGTGGCTGGCAGTCCTTAGCTCACGCAGCACGCGGTCTCTGTCTCTGTCTTCACATGCTGTTCTCCCTCTTTGTGTCTGTCCCTTCTCCTCTTGGAGTGGCACCAGTCATATCAGAGTGAGGCCACCCTGCCCCAGTATGACTCATTAACTCACACCTTAATGAATCTACAAAGACCCTATTCCCAGGTAAGGTCACAGTCACAGGTACGCAGGGTTCAGACTTCAGCCTATCTTTTGGGTGACATGAACTCATCCCACAGCAGCTTCCCCGTCATGTCCTGATCCACTGACCCCCAAGGCTTCAGATGAAACATGAGGGTTTCCTATAGGCATTGATTTTAGGTCTGTGAGCTGTACTTTCTGGCCTTCTTTGCGTTCCTTGAACACATCGAGCTAATTCCTAAACTCAGGGCCTTTGCACCTGCTATGTGCTCTGTCTGTCATTCCCTCCCAGATCGTCCATGGATTGTCCTTGTTATTCAAGACTCACTAAAATGTAACTTCCTCAGAGAAGGGAGTTGAGCTGTTCGAGGTGAGATTAGAGAGGTAGAAAGGGGCCAGATCTTGTCAGTAGCAATGAGAATGGAAATAAGGGAAGACCCATGAGAAGAGTTGGGGAAGGATTGACCAGAGGTGTGGCTGATTGTACGGGGTGAAGGAGAGAAAGAAATCCCAGAGTAACTCCCAGGTTCCCTACTGGGGGTCATGGGTGACAGTGGTGCCCATTGACCAGGAGACAGAGAACAGGCCCTCCGGAGGGAGTGTGGTAGGTGCGGGGAGGGTGGGCCTGGGACAAAGGTGAGTTCAGGGAGCCTGCTGGGGCCTGTGGATGACAGGTGGAGGTATGGTTCAGACCGGTGGGGAAGATCAGGGCCGGGGCAGGGCAGCCCTGCGGGTGGACAGAGAGAGCTCAGGTGGCCATAGTCAGGCGGTGGAGGGGACTCAGACTGACTCACACTTTACTCACTGCCATTCAGAGCAGCACCCGCTGAGCCACCCTCACGTCCCCTTCCTCCCTGTCCAGTGCGTGGGCTCCCCTGGGTGAGCCTCCCGGAAATGGCCTCTCTTTGTTTGTTTGTTTTAAATCCTTCTCCTCTGGTCCCTCCTCTGATAAACTCATTCACAAGACATGCATGGGTGATGATGGTTTGATGCACACTCCCAGGGTGTTATTTACATTCCAATGGCGTTTCCTGAGCTTTGGTTGAGAATTACTGGAGAACCTTTCAGGCAGTTGTGGGTGATGGAATCAACTATGACATACTATTCTGCCAGCTGGGGAGTTAGCCCCCGGCATCTTGTGGGCCGACCGGCATTTGTGGATGCTGGGCCCACATATGGAAAGAGCAGTGGCTTCGGAGCCACACCCACCTGGGTGTGAATGGAAGGCCCTCTATATACCAGCAGTGTGGCCTTGGGCTTTAGTTTCCTCATCTGTAAAATGGGGATAAGATAGCACTTGCCTGACCTTTGAGACACCCAGATTGTAACTGGCCCAGTGCCTGGTGCATCCCACACCCTCCGTACATGGTACTTGTTATTCATGGATTTGGTCCACGGTGTCTGTGCCCCCATTCTAGGGACAGAAAGAGGAATCCAAGGATCCTAGCAGATGCAGTCTCACGCTCCCACGTGTGTGTGTGTGTGTATGTGTGTGTGTATGTGTATGTGTGTATGTGTGTATGTGTGTATGTGTGTGTATGTGTGTATGTGTATGTGTGTGTGTATGTGTGTGTATGTGTGTATGTGTATGTGTGTGTGTATGTGTGTGTATGTGTGTATGTGTATGTGTGTGTGTATGTGTGTGTATGTGTGTATGTGTATGTGTGTGTGTATGTGTGTGTATGTGTGTATGTGTATGTGTGTGTGTATGTGTGTGTATGTGTGTATGTGTATGTGTGTGTGTATGTGTGTGTATGTGTGTATGTGTATGTGTGTGTGTATGTGTGTGTATGTGTGTATGTGTATGTGTGTGTGTATGTGTGTGTATGTGTGTATGTGTATGTGTGTGTGTATGTGTGTGTATGTGTGTATGTGTATGTGTGTGTGTGTGTATGTGTGTGTGTGTGTGTCCTGCGGGGGCTCGCGGCGCTGGGTGCTGCTAACCGCCCCCTCCTGTCTCAGTGTGCCCTCCTAGTGTCCTCCCTGAAGAACCAGTCCAGAAAAGACCTGGAGAGGGCAGCCCTCTTGAAAGAAAAGCCAAAGATGCTCAAGCAAAGAAGCCAGCCTAAGAGACTCTATCCTTCCGAGCCCACAGCCCCCTCGGCGGCCAGAATGGTTTGACTCCCCCCCTAATAACACACAGGATGTTGTTTCTGCGTGTCTCCGGGTCTTTCCTAGATCTCGCGGTGCCCTGGGCCAGGGGGCTGGGGCAGGGTCCTCAGGAGCGTGTCCTGTGGGTGCCTCCAGTCCTGGCCTCTGGGGGACCTGCTTCTCAGCTCGGCACCTCTGGCCACCTCCCCACCCCCACCTGTGGCTCTGCCTGGCTCTCCCAGGCTTGACCCCGATCTGGGTCCTAAGGGCCCCCTGAGATTGGAACCCACCTGACTGTAAGGCAGGCGGGCTTATCCCGGAGGGACTCGGGCACGGGAACGAGGCTGTCGGGTATCCAACGGGCTCTGGCTGCAGCTGCCCGGGGCCTGGCAGGAGCCCGAGGGTGGCCTGGCTGCTTATCTGCAGTCGCAGCCGTCAGCTCTGTCCTGCGTGAAACACCGGCCTCGGCACCAGAGGGGCCTGGAGAGGTCTGGCTGGGGAGACCCAGACTCAGTGCTCAGGAGCGGAGGGGCCGAGGACTCCAGCTCCCGGCCTCGGGCCGAACTTCTTCGGCAGCGCTGCCTCACTCCGTCCAGGCCGGTTCTGCGAGAGGCTGTCACCAGGTTTCAGGAACCTCCCAAGTTCTGAGGCGAAGCCCTGTCATTCCAGGATCTGCCTCTGGGGCCTTCAGCACTGCTGGGCTGGCTCCCTGCGGGGGCCCAGGGCCGGCCTGGGGTCAGCTCATCCCCGGGTCCCAGCTGGTCCCGGGCCCTGCTGACCTCACGGTCACCACGTTCTGGTTGTGTCCAGTAATGAAGGGCCCCTCCCTTAGAACAGGTGCCCGGAAGGGCACAGCTACCGAGTGGCCGCCTATGGGGCTGGAGGCCCAGAAGCGCTGGCCCAGGAGGAAGAGGAGTAGATGACGCGAAGAAAGTTCTGGCAAGTCCTCACGCATGTACTATTTCACCTCAAAAGCCAGAGTCCCCTCTGAATCTGCAGCAGGAGATGAGGCCAAAATGTCTGAGAATCTGGTCCCTTAGGCCCCGCCCTGCGAAGATTCCTAACAGGCAGATTGAGGCTGGGGTGACGGGTGCACCTGCCACAGAAAATAGGCGGCTGACGGGAAAGACCACCTGTTTTCTAGAGCATTAGAGATGGCCCTGCCAGGGAGAGCAGCCCCCCCGCGAAAGCTGTGACATGGCGTCCGCTCAGTGGCAAGGCGGGCGTCCCACCAGGTGAGGCCCGGGTCGGCTGGGGCACAGGCTGTGGTGAGGCGTGTGAGTACCGGTAGGCACCACAGTGATCAGCGATCGGGAGTCTTGATCCTGCGCCGGCCCTTCTGCTAGGACGCCCACTTGAGCTTGTAGCAGTGCAGGTAGCCGGTCAGCCCCCCATTTTACCGGTGAAGGAAGTCAGGGTTGAGAAGCATGGCTGGTGCCCGCTGGTGGCGACAGGCCCGGGTGTTTTTATGAAAGGGCTCAGCTCCTAAGAGCAGGTGCCTCACATCCAACATCAAAGGCGTGGCCCAGTGGCTCCGAGCAGGGTCCTGGGGCCCGCGGGACCGGGTGGAAGCTGCTCTCCTTCCTGGCACTGGGAGCTGGGGGCAGAGAGCACTCACTCCAGCCTCAGGCCTTCTGTCCTCCAGCTGCAGCCCAGTCAGCCAAGGAGGAGCCTGGAGCCGGGAGGAGGAAGACCCACACGAGGGAAGCAGAGGCCGGAAGTAGCGAGGGTGAGTCGGAGGATGCGGAGCCGGAGCTGGGAAGCCCTGGCCTGTGGGAACTGCGCAGTCATCGCAGGGCAGCAGAGCCCTGGACCAGGCCTCTCCTCACACTGGGTCCCCAGGCCAGGGGGACAGACATGCAGTCTTGACATGGCAAGAGAGTGAGGAGGGTCAATACTGGGGGTCCCCCGAGGTCCCGGGTCCCGGATCCCTAGGTCCGGGTGCCGCACGAGGGACAGTGCCTCCGCCCCGGGCTCGGGGAGGGCGTGGAGATGGGGCCCCGGCCAGCCTGACTGCTGCCAACGGGCACAGATTCCAGGAACCAATCCCTGGGGTGCGGAGAAGAGAGTCCAGCCGGTTTGCAGGGATCCACCCTACAGCCTCCCTTTCTACCTCTCAGCAAACTGCACCTAAGGACTTGATTGGCAGAGAAACTGACATGAAAAGAGAG